TCAATTTGTCTCGCTTGGTAAACGCCTCAGATTCAGTCGGTTGCGCTGTAGCTCGGCCGCGCTTAAAATTCGAGGTGGGGAATCTTGACCCAAATATGGCGGAGAGTGAACTTACTGGTGTTTACTTCTATAACGTGGCTCGGAATTCGATGGACTCGACGAAAGCCGTTTCTGTCTGGTTCTGATTAGCGAATGTTTTACCGGTGAGAAAGTTATCGGAGTGCTTAAAAAAATGGTAGTCGATTGGTTTCGGCCGAAACCGAAACATCCTTACAAGGATTATGTGTTAAGGAAAAAATAAAGAAAATGTAATTATAATCAGTCTTTATTTTTTATCTTTAAATCACAACATTATGCAATCTTCAACATTTTCACTTATTGATAATCAACATAACAAACCCTTATTTGAGAAAAAATATTAATTGCATCTTAAAAATACTTAAAATATGTGGGGTGTTTATTCGAGTAGGTGAAGATCCTTCTTTTGAATACTATTGATGGTTATTCTAAAATATCAAACATCAAATTACTCATTTAAGTTGTTACCTACTATCAGAAAAGGTGTTTAATATGTATGTAATAAACAAAGTAAATCACAAAGTAAGTCACGAGTCACGACATGATTAGGCACGTGGACGCGGCAAAATGTCTTCGTCGCTTGTATGAAATTCAACGCCCGAACATGACCGACCATAGCGCGGGAACTCACGAATGCAGTTCCGATTTCGGTCGTAGTTTCGGCAGGTTTGCCTTCGAAACCGAAACTGAACCGGAACCCGTTTTTTTTGCCGGAACTCGACCGAAACCGAAACCGAACTTTCGGTCGGACACTAATCGTCTTCGTATCTGTTACGGTTTAGAATATAGCAATGTTACCACATGATAAAAGAAACGGCCTGTATATCAGTCTATTTTTTTCGCGACAAATTAAAAGATCCTGAATATTTTATTTATTTAATTCAACCGTTACATCGCACTTTATATAATTCCAAACTGCAATGAAAGACATGTCATGTTGTCATGCTCATTTCTTATCGTTGATGCCGCCTATCAATAGTTTTGCATTATGGATAAGTGCAAAAAAATGTTGGGCTTGGTTTTGTATCCAAAATGGGTACTATACCCTTCATCGCTTCAGCATTCACATAACATTCAAAGGTCGGTACTAACTTGGGAAGATACAAATTCGTCGTAATAAAACATTCATCTATATATAGAGTGAACGTGTAGGCATCTGCATACAATGGGTCTTTGAAGTTTTGTGTATTATTTCGCAAAAGGTAGAATGAGTAATGTTTTCCACATAAAGATATTAAATGTTGGTATCTGCAGGATGTGGAGGTTTAAATATATTTTTTCGAGAATATCTTTTTTTAATCGAATAACTTCAGTATCGCTTATTACAAATGAAACCAAGTCGTGATCTCTAATATCATCTGAATGAAGTTCACGTTAAAAGTATTTATAGCCACATTCTCAAATTTGTTTCTCCATTCTTTGAAAGTTTTTGAATATATGTGTTGGCATTTCACGTGAAAATTCTCAAAATTTCAGCCAGTGTAAAATTAATGTGTTTCAAATGTTTTAAAAGTTTTCAAAAATTCCAAAAACACATGACGGTTAAGTCAGGTGAGAATTTTGTACCTTATACAGTGATGCTGTCCTTTTTTTTTTGAAATTTAAATTTTTTGTCTGTTTTTGAATTATTACTAAGTATAAGATGTTTTTGAGTGATTTTCGGCCAATTTTTCTCCAGGAATTCAAATTGAACCGAAGCGCTGCCAAAAGAGCCGGAAAAATTAGGGCATTTGGCAATTATAGTGTTAATGAACGCACTGTGCGACGTTAGTTTGCGAATTTTTGTTCCAAATCTAAAGAAATAAACTTCAAACGTTCAAGCCAGTCTCGATATACCTACACAGTAGGTTGAATGGACTGACGCCTATCAGAAAACAACTACTCCCCTGGCTAATACCACGAAGAGCGTTGGATTATATCCGACAGGCGTCAATGCAGGAATCTTCACAGAAAATTTCCTGCATATGCAATTGGCAATACAACTGAAAGAGACGACCTTCAATTTTGGAACGGGCACACTTGCAGACCGGTTTCGGGCTCATTAGCAACTCGTCAGTGCAAGATAGTGACCATCATCGACCGAAAGTCAATGATATTCCATAATTGAAAATCGGAATTCTTTCAGAGTATTTCATTCCTCTTCCGAAGTTGGAGCAAACATCACCAAATGTCACTCCATCCTTATTCAGAGGAATCGGGCAAATTACGGGTATGCAGTTGGTTAGGACCTCGTCCACTAGATGGATAATTTTGATACACTTCTGAAAAAGCTACCGTATAGTTGAACACGTGTTGTGGTTTTGTAAACTATTTAGTGATAATCTCACAAAGAAGTGTTACTTAAATAGTTATCGGCAAGTTCCTTCACATAAATTACTATTGAATGGTTTTCACAAATATGCATGTATTTGATCAAACGACATTGTAGTGTTGCAGGTATTTTTAAGTTATTTTGTAGCGAGATTTAGATACTTCCCATTCACAAAAACAGACTACTCTTTCGTATTGAAAGTTGAATATCTGATAGTGAGTAATAAGTGCGTCAATATTAACTGAAGCTGAGAAAATGATTTTCTGAAATGTAACACTCGAAATAGTAATCTTTGAGATTAATTATCTGAGTAATAATTGAACCCAAATAAATTTTTTTATCATAACATTTCATTTAATACGTAATATGGCGTTCGAGATAAAAAATATCTGTTTCATCATGAATATTTAATGTTGATACTTTAAAACAAAGAATTATTTCTTTTGAAACAACAGAACCGTGCTGATATTCGAGTAGATAACCTACAGACTGGTTTCGAGGAGATCAGGCCCACTCATGGGCCGGATCGCTGGGTATTTGATGAATGTGTATTTGAACAAACAGAATTTGGGACGATACCAATCCACATGAGATCCAAGAGCGTCCGATGTATTCCGATGTAACGAATGAAAAAATTCGATGATAACTCACACGCACTTTAACTTTTATTCAAATTCAAAGATAGGGAGCGCTTAATGAAAGTTTCTATAGCAAAACACCAAGCGGGAGCGTGGTAGTAGACGGGGAAGTAGTTGCTTTCCGGCAGGCATTTACCAGAACCTACTGTGTAGATAGTTCGGAGAGACGGATCTTTCGAAATTTCATTACGGAATATTCATTTTGTTGGAAAATTTCATTTGTGAAAATTGCTCAATTATCATCATGAATAGCGTTATCAATTCTCATCAAGTAACGAATCATAATATAGCAAAATTGCACTCATCTACCAATTATGAATTCTTTTGAAAGATACTTAGTAAATACTTCATTAAATGAACTAAAACAATCATCAGACCCGTCTCAACTCACCTACACTGTAAGTTAATGGACTGACACCTATCAAAAAACAAGTATTCCCCTGGCTGATAGTTAATTTGATTTACAGCCAGTCTTCAAGTATGCCCACTGATAATAGGTAAAGGTTTCTTTCTTTATAAGAGGAATTGGACTAATTTTGGATATGCGGTTGGTTAGGACCTACCTTGTTCACCAGATGGAGCAATGGCAAATTTGCCATTGCTCCATTTGCCAAAGGAAGTCGACTCTTACTTATGGAATATCATCTACTTTAGGTTGATGATGGTCACTACCTTACACTGACGAGAGGCCAAATAGCCCGAAACCGGTCTGCAAATGTACCCGTTCCTATAATTGAAAACCGATTTCAGCAGTTGCACTGCACTGACACCTGTTGGGTATAATCCAATGCCCTTCGTCGTATTAGCCAGGAGAATATTTGTTTTCTGCTAGGTGTCAGTCCATTAACCTATAGTGTAGGAGTGTCGAGACTGGCCTGAACAAATTGTTCTTTTGGTTAATTTGATTTACAGCCAGTCTTCAAGTATGCCCACTGAAAATATGTGAAGGTTTCTTTCCTTAGAAGAGAAATTGGGCCAATTTTGGATATGCTGTTGGTTAGAACCTTGTTCACCAGATGGAGCAATGGCAAATTGGTTGTCTGTCGTTCGCTTCAGCTTGGTTGGAGGAATGAAACTCTGAAAGGAAGTCGACTTATACTTATGGAATATAATCTACTTTAGGTTGATGATGGCCACTACCTTACACGGACGAGAGGCCAAATAGCCCGAAACCGGTCTGCAAATGTACCCGTTCCTATAATTGAAAACCGATTCCAGCAGTTGCACTGCACTGACACCTGTTGGATATAATCCAATGCCCTTCGTGGTATTAGCCAGGGGAATATTTGTGTGTAGGTGTCGGTCCATTAACCTACAGTGTAGGAGTGTCTAGACACTGGCCTGAACAAATTGTTCTTTTAGTTAATTTGATTTACAGCCAGTCTTTAAGTATGCCCACCTCTATATAGGTACATCTCCAAAGTTTTGCGCAGTTTCATCTAACTTTAGACGTCACAAATAATACGATGAAAGCATGGAACCAACAAATATTATGTATTCACATCCACCTGAAATGATTGAATTGATAATAGCATTGAGCTATTATTAGTATTTATTTTTCGCAAAATGATATAAAAAATATTTTAATATTCAATTAAAATACTTGTTATATCATCCACTCGTTAAAAGAATTTGAAAATTTGATTTCATCTAAGTGCAGACGTTACAAATAATTCAATGAAACCACAAAACCAATTAGTCCCACGTATTCACATCAAGCCGAATACGTTTGAAATATTAGGTTGGAGTATCAAATGGGAAAGAACATACCACTAATCATAACTGATGAGCAGGTACACTTTCTTCATTTGTTTTTAAAATTGTTTATTGTTTCTGTACCTGGGTGGTATCCTCGAACCCATTATCAAATATTCAAGTGAACTCGATGGATTTGATGAAAAACTATTATTTGCGTGATCTTTCATGCTGTCAACAAACTACTTTTGAAATTTATAATATATTTTCATTTTCAGGAAACGTTTTGATGGGAACAAACTACATAGATGAAAAGAGTGGTCAGTGGTTCGGAGCAACTTTGAGTTCATCTGGACAAACAGACGGACCGGTTGTCGTAAGTAAACACTAACAATTATTAATAATTGATAAGTTGATGTAGCTAGCCGTTACTACGTGTTAGATCATCATGAAAAATTAGAAATAAAACTTTCTGNATACTTTTCACTTTCATCGCAAATGAATTTCATGAATTCTTCATCATAAAAAATTTTGAAAATATCGATTGGTTGCAAATTTTCATCTCTAATTGTTTGAACAAAGCTTGGTTCTGGTGTAACGGGTAATTTTGATTTTTCATTTCTTGTTTTCAAGTTGACTGTATTCCACTGACGTTTTTTGATGTTTCTTTTGATTTCTTTCTCTTTCAACTCCTTAGCGAATAAAATGGCTAGCGGTTTATTATCTTCCGAAGATTCACTGTCGGATGTTTCAAGGTCGGTATCACTAACATGTTTTTGTGGCAGTAAATTTAGTTGTGTCTTCACATTCTCATCATCAACGCTAAAAACCTCCATAGGTTCTCTGAGCACTCCCTTTCCAATGCTTCGGATGGTACCTACATCTTCTTCGTCGCTCGGAGCATCGTCTTTGTCACTATCGGCAGCATTGTTGGGAGGAAGAAGAATTAGCTCCAATTTCTGAGCATGTTGCACTTCCTCATAGTCTTCGTCATCAGAACTTAATTGTTCAAGATAATTTAGCAACTCTTCTGCATCTCGAGGATCTTCTGGGTTATAAAATTGTTTTCTGTAAAAAAGGAAAAACTAGTCACCAACGCCCAACGTATGATATATCATACAGTGACTAAGAATTGAAAAAAAAGGAATAATTTTACCGAGTTGTCCCACTGCTCTTAAGGATATTACTTCTTAGTATTTACATTATGTGTATAGCTTATAAAAAATACTCTAGGACATAATTTGCAAGAATTCCACCGAAAAGAACTTACCTCAATGGCATTTTAGAACACAGTCAGTAAAAACTATCACAAAAACAACTGTAAAACCCAAATTTCACAAATCTCGCTCAACAGGCTTTGAATATAAATGGAATAAACCTTCAAAAACAGGATCTGACAAGAACTGGTGCAGAATGCACTATATGACAATGTTTACTTAACCTCAAATGCACATGTGTTTTGTTTATGATAAATCATACGGTGGGCGTTAATGGGTTAATATGCATTGATTTCATTTCCAAAATCAAATATAATTTGTTTCTTTTTCATTTTTAGATTTTTATTTTTGTTATTGATACCCTTCATCTGGATAAAAATCAAATAATATTATGAATAAATTTCTACGTACTACTGTATGAAAAAACATATAATAAATTTCTCGCACTTATCTCCATACAATTCGAAAAAGTAATTCTCTATGATTCCCTAACTTCTGCTGAAGTAGCTGCCGTACAGTAATGAATACAATTTTGTCACATCTCGTTAGATCAGAGACACCAATTTGATTGATGTGTGTTATTAACTGTAAAATTCCTCGAGCATTTCTCACATATTAATCAAAAAAGAGCAAACTGGTACGGTCAGCATTAATTTACTAATATTTCCTAGTGTAGTAGACATTCTGCAGATATACCGAACTGGTATATAAGTTGTAACTCGATTTATTTTTATACTCCACATACTCGAGAATAAGAAGAAAGATCGATTCTCGTGGTGTATTGACATCATTGACGGACGATCATTTTCGAACCCGCTTTACCGCATTGCAGCCGATATGTCCGTATTTGCCGAGAATGACCGCTGTTTTTTATCCAGACTCGGTGATTCTGAACCTCCATCGGTCAATGGTACTTTTATTATGAAACTGAATTTTTCGCAAAGATAAAAATGTCGACATAAATAAATGTATTGATTATTAAATGCCCGAAAATGAAGCGGAGTCCATTCCATGGTAACAATTTAAGGTCACAGGGAAAATATGACACAAAAACAAAGAGTTGAGAAATTGTCAATCTTTTGATCTTATTCTGTGAGAAAATACCTAATTTTGTTTCGAATCTGTAGTACAAAACCCCCTATACAGTGCATTTATTTAATGTGTCCCCCATTGTATATGCTTAAATACTTCATACTTCATATAAAAAAAGTTCAAAGGTGTCAAATCTAGCGAGCGGTCTGGCCATTCTGTATAACCTCGGCGGCCAATCCAACGACCGAGAAAGGTAGTATCCAAATAGTTTCTTACTTGTCTGGAGTAATGTGGTGGTGCTCCATCTTGTTGGAATACAATATCCATATCGAATTCATTAGGATTCGCTTCGGAGATTTTAGTGATGAGAGGGTCCACAGTAGTTTCCAGCATATTCAAATACAGTTCTCCTGTTATATTTTGATCAATAAATAGAAGTCGTACAATATGGTCTCCCAATATTCCCACCCAAACGTTAATTTTTTCTGGATATTGGGTATGTGTTTCCCGAAAAACGTGAGGGTTGGTGTCACTCCAATAACGGAAATTTCGTCTGTGAACATTGCCGTTTGAAAAAATGTACATTCGTCACTAAAACAAATATTATGGAGATAGGTAGGATGCCTTGCAATGGTTTCCGTCATGATTTCGCAGAATTCTGTTCTTTGATCAGGTTCATCTTCAGTTAATTGGTGTACCATTTCAATTTCGTATAGATGATAAATATTCCTCTTCAAAAAACCCCACACAGTAGAAGAAGACACCTAACAAACATTCGCAACGGAATAAGTAGACTGTTGAGTTCTGCTAGTAAAACCGAAAACTAAATGAGAATGTTCTAACTGAACAATGATGTTCATTGTCGAACTGACAGTTTTTGTCGTTTTCATAATCAAAAAATAACTTAGCAAACCTTATCGAGTTGTTGGAATTGCCATATGGCAGATAAAAAGGAATATTTCTAGAAATATCGATATTAATGTGTTTGTCTTCAGGAAATTATTAAATGTTCTGCCATTTTGTAGCAGATGAAGATATTGACTTCATATTGTTGGGTTGTGAAGTATTCATCAGGAGCTTCAAAATGATGTGCCACAAGACCCCCTTTCCGTTTAATTTTTTCCCAGATGGCGCCCAGTCGCCATCTTGAAAGTTTCATCTGTCAATTTCACTTCAAAATAAAGTATTCATGCATTAATTTCAGTATCTCAAATTTCAATTTTGTGAGTTGAGTGAAAAATTAACAAAAATAACAGAGCAAGTGTACACAATGTCCATGAAATAGTTTGTTTATGTTCAAACATCAATATATTCCATCTGTGAAAAGTATTGCTTAGATTTCGTTTAACAAAACAGGTTCTAGATATCCAATTATCCAACTGTGGGGTTCTTTGTGAAAAAAATTATATTGGATGATCCCCCTTCTACCCTGATTTCTCTTATGGGTCAAAATGAAAAAGACTTGCCCTGTCATAAATTGGTTGTTCATTTTCTGATCAGTGGTTGATTTGTTCTTCGTATTTGCGAGATGTACCTGATCAACCATCCAAAAGATATTTTCACTGCATTGAAAGAAGTTCACAGTATCATGGTTTATTCACTGAAATTGGCGTTTTGGGTAAGTTCACTCATCAGGCGGTTGACAATGTGATTTCCGGTTCATACAATACATATTTATGTCACATTCTAAATATGTGTGTCCACGAATAGGAAATATGATTTTGATGACATCCAAACGTTTTGCATTCGACTGGTGTAACTATCATTTCGCCCGCTGCAGAATGGTGATAAAAGTTCGCGAAACTTCATCATTTCAAAATAAAAAGGGACAGGGTGGGGATTTCACAATCTTGTTCAAATGTAGAAAGAAAGCCAACAAACCTTCCTTGTCACAAAAATCTATGTCTCCTTAAATTTACCTTTTTCAATTCAAAGCGAATATGTGTATTGGTTACGGTTGAAGTATTTATAGAAACTTAGTTTAAACTTCAATTCAGTGACAAGGATAAAGAATAGTTGATGTGGTCTTATATCCCTCATATCTGAAGCCATTTGAGAAAAGAAGTAAAAAAAAGAAGAAGAAGTCAGGTTCATATATAACCCTTTCAAATCAAGTCAGGTTCAGTTATGTTCGTAAGTAGCAACTACAAATTGCAGTGGTATGGTTCTACACTGCGAGCACATGCTGAAGTTTTAGTGTGCTAAAATAGAAAATGAGTTTCTGCCTTATGCCGCCAGTAACACGTGACATTCTTGGGAAAGTGAAAACAACAATTCAAGTGGGGGGTTGAGCAACATTAATAGAGAAATCATGTTTTTCGTGATCCAGACCTTCGTGACTGTTTGGTTGGCCATTCAGCAATTTTATAAGTAGGTGAACTTGAATTCTTTCTTTTATTCTTGCGACTTATGAAAATTTGTTCGACTGCTTTTCAAAAAAATAAAGTATATTACTAATGTAAAAATAAAATAAATAGTAGAATTATAGAAAATCGTAGGATAAGAAACATTCATTAGTGAAATAAAAAAACCCCAGAGATAATCTTTGACCTTCCATTCGATAACGTTAATTTATATTTTTTATCAAAAAATTATCATTCAGAAAATGACCTTGTTGGAATTTATAATTAATTTCTTATATGGACATAGTTGAAAAGCTAACATTCTCGAAATTGAATTCAAAGAGGATTTTAGTGCCAATGAAATATCTAAGAATCATCTCCTTTAATATCATGAAGTTGATACAGTTGGGATGACGAAATAATAAACATTTGCCATCAAGAAAATACGCGATAAAACGCATACTCTTTCAAGTATCCTTTTGTTTTTTTTAAGAACAAAACACAAGCACTACAGGAAAATCCTTAAGGCACTCTCAGAGAAGTGCCTATGCGAAAGTAGCGATTTAAATTGGATTTGAATCGTTGGAGATTAAATTCATTTGAAAACAATTTCTCAGGAAGTTTATTCCACATAAACGCAGTTCTCCAGATGGAAGAGTTCTTAAACAGTGAAGTTCGAGGTGTACTGAGTTGAACTTCAGAACGGTGAGCAGCCACAGTCCGTCGCGAATATCTAATATGTACCGCTATTGATGGAATCAAATGTGCTAAGTCACTTGAATATT